ACAAACAACAAGAAATATTTGTATCCCTCCATAGTAGTGATGTGATATGGTCCTCAAACATTAGTATGCACAATTTCTAAAGGAATGCTACTTCTTTTATTGTTCAAATAATAGGTTGTTCTACAATGCTTTGTTTGTTCACAACTTTCACATTTCAAGCTGGACATTTGGACTGACTCAAACAAACTGGGAAACAAACTCTTCAAAGACCTAAACATCAAATGTCCTAACTGATTATGCTAAAGCATAACCTAACTCACGGACTGAGAAATAATATACCTTCCAACTTCACAATCTTCCCCATGTGAATTCCCTCCAAGCAAGTAGATTCCGTTCATCTCATGGCCAATCCCAATCACCTTCCTCGTCTCCAGATCTTGAAAAACACATCGATCAGGAAAGAAAGCCATTGAACAATTTTGACCTTTAGTGATGCTACCAACTAAAAGCAAGTCAGTACTAAGTTTAGGAACATGCAAAATTGAAGACAAAGAGATGGCATTAGATAATTTAATGTCTCCCTTGCCAGAAATTGGAACATGGAAGCCATCAACAATAGACACTTTGTCTTTGCCAGAGGATAAGCAATAAGTAGTAAACAGTGAGGACATGCCAGTCATGTGGTCAGATGCACCTGAATCTATAATCCAACAAGGTTCATTGTTACTTGGGGCTGTGACATGATATGTTGAAGCCCTTGAACTTGAATGAGCAATTGCTGAAGTGGGAGTAGCAGATGTTGTAATTGGTGGTTGACATGGGGTTGTTGAAGGGCTAACTTCACTTTCTAATTGAGTCAGAGCAGCTCAAACAACAGCCAAAGTGTCTAGGGATGTGGCTCTTGTGCTGGATGAGGGTGCACCATCAGTAGTGATAGCCACATTGACATTCCCCTTTTTGTTTCTGAGCTTTGCTAGAATTAGATGTGGATATAACCTCCAACAGGTGTCTTTGGTATGCCTCGATTTCTTGCAATGTTCACATTAGTGATTCTCTCTTATCCTCCTTCATATCCCTCTCCATCTCACCCCCAAACTTTGGTTCCACTGCTGCAAAGGCTGATTCCGTAGGTTGATATTGCAACATAACTTTTCTCCTATTTTCCTCACTGTGCACTAAAGAATAGGCTTGGGACAAGGTCACACTTTCTCTGGTAAGGAGTTTGTCGCCTCACAATGTCATATTCTGAATTCAGACCATCTAGGAATTCAAAGTCAGACCTCTGACTTTCCACTCAATCGTCTCTAGGTGATCAATTTCATGCCACAAAGATTTCAAAGTGGAGAAGTAAATTGAGACTGGTTTCTCTCCTTAAGGTTGTTTGCTTCACATTTCAGCTCATAAGCCCTAGCAACATTAAGTGGTTGGGAGTAAGTTTCTTTCATGATGTCCCAAATCTCCTTAGTAGTTTTTGCCCACAAGTAATTTCAGCTGATGTGAGGCTGCATAGAGTTGCACAACTAAGTCATAACCAAATAGTTCTCTCGAACCCATTTGGCATATGTTGGGTCTTCCTTGGTTGGTTCCTTTACATCCCCCATCACATAGCTCAGTTTTCCTCTATTCCCAATAGCCATCATTGCTGACTGAGCCCATTCCAAGTAATTTGATCTGTCAAATTTGACAGTGGTGATCTGAAACGTTTTCTCAGTCATGTTTCCAGTACCACCAGCCCCAAAGACCCTTGATTTTTATTCCTGCCATCTCTTTCAAGAAATTTATCAAAAGTAAACCCCTTTAATGCTAAAACAGATGTAATTACACCCAGAAATTGCTAATAGTCGACCTAGAAGGTTGAAATATGTCTAGCAATCACGCAGAAATATTGGACCAGGCTTAATAATCTCCCAGAAACTGATAACAGTCATAAATTTAGGGTTTAAATCTGAGAACTGGTTGTAGGTAAAGAAAAAACCCTAAAAAATTCAGAGAAAATAGAAAACTTCCAGCTGCTCCTTCCAGAATGTTCAAATCAAATTCTGATTGAAGTCGATCTCAAAAACAAACTGAAACCTACCCAGAAAAGTCTGGCCGCCACCTCCAATCCACAGTCTGAACCCTAATCTTGAATTTTCTTTCTTTCCTCTGATTCTTCCTCATCACTGGACACCTCCCAAGGCCTTACAATCCCTTGGGCATCTGCTGCACTCTTCCAGCAATCTCCAAGAACCAGTTGATTGACATTTTTTCCTAAAACTTCCAACCCTAGGAAGTTCTCATGCAGTCGGCCTGATTAAACTCACTTGAGAAGCCCTAGGTTTGCTCTGATACCAAGTTGTCTAGTAAGACTGCAATCAGTCTTAGTTTAGATCTGAATTAAACAAGAAATAATGAAATAATGCAGAGAATAAAAGAAGAAGAGAAGAAGAGAGAACATGAAGAGGAGAAAAGATTCAGAGAATGTGGGCCATACTGAGATTATTGCCCCACTCAACTATTTATATTAATGATTTAAAACAAGGTAAAAAAACCAGTATTACCCCTACTGCTTACATAAGCTATAAATAACAGAAAATAACTGCCAACTAATCCACCTAACATACTAACAGCAATATAAATAGACGTGCAGGAGTGGGGACCACATTATTGTTCTACATCTCTACACAAATCATCAGGAATATCCTTCTGTCTGATGATGACGGGAACTTCATTTCATATAGAGCTGAAGAAGCTGACATTGAAAAAGGTGGAAAGTTGAATGGTGTTCACTTTTTTGAGAAAAACACAGTATTGGAATTGGAAAGGATCATTGAGGATCTTATTGTTTCCTTGGAGCTCAAGGATTCACTGGCACTTAGAAGATTTGGAAAGTWAAGAAAGCATCAAGATATCTTGGCTTCAAATGTTTTTGCTAGAAAATAGTGAAACTGGCCAATTTCCTATTTGCGTATAACAATCATTCCTGTTTGTACCCAAGTTTATGTTATTTGTATTAAATTTACTATTAATATTAGTGTTAAATAATTGAATTTTGTTAATATTACTATTAATAAAACCTGTTAAATTCTGTTAATTCAGTATTACCCTTAATCTATACTAGTAACAGTAATTAAAATTTAAATTACTATTAAATGCAGTTTAATTAAATTTTGTATCCTGTTAATAACAATGTTTTAAAAACAAAAATCAATTTGGATGGGTTGGACAGACCAACAAGACATATTGAATTGGACCAATTTATTTAGAGGCTCTTTTTCCTGATTGGGTCTTTCCATTTTATTTAGTGGCCTGCAATTATTATTGGGTTTGCATGAGGAAGGCCATGCAGAAGGTCATGGCTCCTTGTCCAATTTGCCAACAGCAAAAGTATTTCTCTCAGCTCCCTGCTAACTTCCTTCAGTCCATCCCCTTCAACGGGGAAAATAGCCATCCTGGTAATTGTTGATTGTCTCTCCAAATTTGCTCATTTTGCCACATTACCTTATGCTTATGCAATGGCCCTGGTAGCCCGATGCCTTTGTGAAGGGCGTGATCAAGTTACATGGAGTGCCTATAACTATTGTATCCGACCGTGGTGCTGTTTGCATGAGCCACTTTTAGGCTTTAGATCTTCTGCGTCCAGGGTACACAGATGGCTCAGTTCACCAATTACCACCCACAGTTCAACGTTCAGACGGAGGTGGTAAACAGGTGTCTTGAGACTTACCTTTGATTTCGCTGAGAAGTGAGAACATCCAAAGCAGTGGGTTTGGTGGTTGCCTTGGATAAAGCTATTCTACAACATTCATACCTCAGCTGGCATGACTCCAATCAAGGCCTTGTATGGCCAAGAACCCCCACCTATTCTTCCATAAGAAAGGGGATCAACTTTAGTGGTGGCGGTGGATGAACAACTGTCATCTGGCTATAGGTCAAACTCTAAAAGAACTCTAAGAAAACCTTGCACTTGGTCAATAAATGATGAATACCAACTATGATAAAAAGCATAGAGCTTTGAGCTATCAGATTAGCAAACAGGTCTTTCTCCGTTTACAGCTCTACTGCCAAACCACTTTGGCTAGGAGAATGTGGCATGAATTGGCTTTGCGTTATTTTGGGCCATTCCTGTATTACAGATTAGAACTCCCTTTTTTGTCAGTACTCCATCTAGTATTCCACTTCTCCTTGCTTAAGAAGTTCATCCCCGGAGATGTGATTTGCATGCCCACACTGCTGGATTTGTCAGATGGTAACTAGCTTCAGGTTACTCCCCACAAGATATAAACCTTTATTGGGCTCATAAGGTTCACAAACTGCAGAAAGAATCCTTAGTTTTATGGTCCAACCTTCCAATGGAGGATGCCACTTGGGAGTCCTTTGTACAGCTCCAGCAAGAGTTCCCTACTATCAACCTCAAGGACAAGGTTGATCTCCAGGCGAGGGGTATTATTGCCAGACCCACAACAGCAGCCCAAGCTGAAAGGGGTAAGCCTTGAGGTCCACAACAATTCTTCTATACAAGTTATATGGGGAGTTAGTTACAACAGGATGAGGTGTAATGTAAGCCTATATAAGGCAGTATTTTTGAATCTGGAGGAAAAGTTTGATCTCCAGGCGAGGAGTATTGATAGGCCCACAACAGCAGCCAGCCCAAGCCCAAAGGAGTATTGAATGGACTGTCTTCCACACTACAACAATGTCAATGGCACAGGACCCATGCACTAGTACACATATACAAGTCTACAGGGAGTTATTTACAACAAAATTATGTGTAATGTAAGCCTATTTAAGGCAGTTTGTTTGAATTTGAAGTAGCGAAGATAGTATTCCCTCTCTTTTCTCCCTCTTCTCTCTTTCCTGTTCCTCTGTATTCAATAGGTTGGGACCTTTGAAGCTTCCCTGAGTTAGGCAGGTCCTAACACTCACCCCACCCCAGAACAAAAGGCTTGAAAATTAAAAATAATATGAAATAAGTACTAGTAATATTTGATTCTTCTGAATGCCTAAGGGTAATTTTCTTTAAAAAGTCATAGATGGAATCATTACTTTTTAGTTGCATAGTGATTATTGTCTATTGTTAGGTGTACATGGAAATCAGATGTGCTGATGGTGGAAATGGGGGGAGGAGAAGCATTTTCCCTGCAACTCATGAAGAGATCCATCCTACTGGAATACTTAGTGTGGTAGCCAATCTCACGCCCTGGTCTGATCATAATCAAAGTCCACGTAATATGTACCAATGCCAGGTTTTCTTTTACTCTTCTAAGTATTGCATATTAATCTGAATAATATCCAAATGTATTAAAATTCTGTGATTATTCTTTTTGTCTATGTCTTCTGTAGCTAGTATTGTTATTTTGTTCAGTAATGCTTTTTACCATTTTTGATAGTTAATGCTTTTCATCATTTGTTTCAATTATAGATGGCAAAACAAACAATGGCTTTTTCTTCACAGTCAATACGGTTTCGTGCAGATCAGAAGCTGTACCATCTTCAGGTGAGAACTTATTATTTGTTTTTGTTCTAGTGAGAACAAAATTCCTCATTTTACATGTGCTTCAGCTTTAGGATGCCCAGAAAACTATCCTTTTTTTCATGTTATTTTGATGCAGAATGCATTGTGTGGTAGGAATTTCTTTTTCTTTCACTTGCACTGTCTTGATATTTAGCATATGGTTTAAAATGTCGGGAAATGTTGCCTGCCGTATGTTGGTGTTGAGACCCATCGGCTGAAACTTTCAGGTGATTAAGAAAAATACAAAATATCATTTGACATTTCCGATAGTTCGATCAAATGTCAACYAAATCTGACCAAACACAAAAAATTACATTATTTCCTAATTTTTTGAACATTGGGAATCTCGTTGAATGCCAAAAACAGAGAAAGGTAGAGAGAGATTTCAAAACAAACAAAATAAAAACATGTTTAGCATGAAGATACAGGCTTAAAGAAAGGGGAAAGGGAAGAAAGTGTTTCACATTTTCATACCTCAAAGCTTGAACATCTGAATAGGCAAGATTAGGATTTGGATCAATTAGCTTTACCATCAATAGCGTGCTGAAAACCCTCTTTGGAGCAAGAACCAAGAAGCCAGAAGCCAGTCCTCTGAAACTTGAAGCTTTGACCTCTCATCTTAGTTCAGGTATGCAGGGACCAGAAACCCCCTTCATTGGAGTTGTTTGCTGATTTTATAGTAGGTGATATTATGGGTAATTGGAGAGATGTGACTTGTTCAGATTGACATAAGTCTGTTATGAGTCCTGTTTGGTCCCCACCACTCCAGGGCTTCACCAGGCTAAACTTTGATGGGAGTAG